TATCTTCATGTTTTATAATTATTAAAAATGACCGAGTGATAAAATCATTATTTTATATTAAAAGGGTCAGAATTCGTGAAATTTTCACAGAAAATAAAAAGTATTTTTTTTTAAATCGAAATGTTGAAAAAACATTTCTATTTGGCCTTAAGAATGTGTTCACCAAAAAACATTAAAAAAAAATTATTTTTTATAAAAGTTATTGCAAAATGAATTTTTTTGCAACTTTTTAAACAAAATTTAATTCCTCCTAAATGAATGATCCGATTTAAATGAACCAAGCGGGAGTATAAAGGGGATAAAATATACTTTCATTCAGAATTAGAAAATTTTTAAAAAGTTTATTTTTTAATAATTATTTAATAAATTTTTTATAAACAATTACACAGCCCCACAAAAAAAAGTGTCATGTACTTTTGACCGGAATACCCTAGCCCTATGTATTTTGACGCGCTGAACACGAATCCGAAGTCCGTTTTGCTTCATCACGTCAGGATTTTTTTCTAACCTCAAAAAACATGCACAGGAAAAAAGTAGTGTTATTTTAACACTAAAAGTAGTATTAAAACAACACGCAACATTTTTAACCGATACTGTGTGATTTTAACACTTCATTGATGTTAAAATAACCCTAGAGCGTGTTAAATTAACACTAGAGGGTGTTAAATGAATATACATTTTTAATGGGGTTAAAATAACACCAAAATTGTGTTAAAACAACACCGCCTGAAAACTACACGCAACAAATTTAACACATATTTTTTTCTGTGTGTCGGATTTTGAGAGGTAGGCGATTTTTTTTAAATTGATGGATTTACTTCAAACTTGGTATCTGGGGGATTTTTAGTTTGCTCATTACGAATCTGAAGTTAGATTTTCAAAATTCAAAATGGCGGATCCAATATGGCGGATGAATTTGGAAAAAATTTTAAGATTTACTTCAAACTTGGTATCTAGGGGTTTTCTGGGTCGCTGATTGCGAATCTGAAGTCAGATTTTCGAAATTCGATTTCTCTGATTCAATATTAAGGAATTATTTTAAAAATATGTTATTTTTAATTCGGCCGCCATATTGGATCCGCCATTTTTAATTTTGAAAATTTAACTTCGGATTCGTAAACAGCGACTCAAAAAACCCCTAGATACCAAGTTTGAAGTAAATCTTAAATTTTTTTAAAAATTCGTCCGCCATATTGGATCCGCCATTTTGAATTTTGATAATCTAACTTCAGATTCGTAATGAGCAAACTAAAAATCCCCCAGATACCAAGTTTAAAGTAAATCCATCAATTTAAAAAAAATCGCCTACCTCTCAAAATTCGACATGTTTTTTGAGGTTAGAAAAAAATCCTGACGTGATGGAGCAAAACGGACTTCGAATTCGTGTTCAGCGCGTCAAAATACATAGGGCTAGGGTATTCCAGTCAAAAGTACATGACACTTTTTTTTTGTGGGGCTGTGTTATTTTTTTTAATGTTCTGCGCCTTTTAAAAATTTTTAAAAAATCTCAACATGCAATTAAAACTATGAAATCAAAATCCGTTGAGAAAATTTAGGAGCGACAATTATTTTAAAAGTTAGAATAAAAATTATATTGCGCGGAGATGCGATTTTGATGCTTTTTAGAATTATAACACTATACTTTCGGAGTAAATTTTGTTATGTTCGAAGTAAATTTGACTAATTTTTACAAATATGTTCCTTTTCTGTAGTTTCTTACTGTTGAATGAATTAGAATGTTAATGATATAAATTGATAAACTTTAAGAAAACATTATCAGTCTCCTGGTATGTGACTACACTTTTTTAAGTAATATATAACTAATATATTTATTAATGTTATATATATTAATTAAGAGTCCAGTTATTTCTTTCCTTATTTCACGTCTTAAATATTTGATGATACATTACAAAGATTTGACATAATGAAATGTGTGAAATAAATTATCACAAGAAGGTTAGCCAAATAAATGTTTTAAATTTTCCATCAAGAAACAAAAGTTTTACCAGCAAATTGTATATTTAATGGAAAATTCTTATCTCCTTGAATAAAATTTTAACTTGCAGAGATTGGAAGGTTCTTATCCAATAAAACGTCCCTTTTTAGAAATTAATTGAAAAATTTATTCCATTAACTTTCTTTGGATCATTTATTTTAATCATCTGATTAACACATTATTATCAGTGACCTAACAGTTTTATTATAAAAGAAAGATGAGAGAAACAATTCTTGAAAGTGAGCGTTGAATTTAAAGCAGAAGAACCTGGCAGACCTCTTTTCGTTGACGCGATAAATAATTAATGATCGAACAGTCTGTTTGTTTTGGATAGTCTATAAAACACTTAATATTTATAAGGTATGAGAGGCATAAGTGGTGATCGTGGGATGCAAGATGGGGAGGAGTTGGTCTGAAGAAGAGCACCCTCTTTTGTCTTATATGGTGCGCGTACGTTATTTAGATATTTTAATTAACTGCTCGGCTATAAATTATGATAATTGACGGTGCGTCCTTGCAAAGTAAGGGCTTCTTGTTCTATGTCGCGAGTTTAACGAATTCCATTGAGCCTGATTTCTGTCAGACAGATGGGAAATTACAATCTCCAATAAACAGTTTTTAATGTTTTTATAATTTAAATTAATATATATAAACACTGATTTAACGCGGTAGAAAAATTATGCCATTAACGAATTTTTTTCTTTTAAAAATACTTTATTTAATATTGTTTTAATGCTGATATTTAGTATACAATTGAGAGGAGAAATTATTTAGCGAAAAAATTTATTGGGATTTGCGTTACTTTCTTTTTTTATAAATCTTTTATAATTTGGTAAGGAATACTTTCTGAGTAGAGTAAATCTCGTTGAATGTGAATAATAATTTATTTTCGATTAATAATTTAGTCTTAATGGCAAAAAGTCGGCTAAGATTATTAGAAGTAGAATTTGATTTTCTTTCGGCGTGGCTCCATAATTCAAAGAAACCCATGTAGGGAGTGTCCGTAAGTCTGCATAGATGTCATTAAAAGCAGAGTTTATTGAATCGGTGCTTAAGAAAATGAACCAACAGCTCGATCGAACGACCACATCGTGCGAAACTATTTCTTGTTCATGTGGACATAGAGAACTAATCCCTGGCTTACTGGCGACGAGCGTAATAATCTTAAAGGAGGATCTAAAAGTCCGGCAATGCGTGTACATAAATAGCAAAGCATGGGACCGAAGGGAGCTTCTCATAGTGCACGTCTTTGCAAATCTCCCTTCGAGCCCTCTGTCTCTGTTATTGGAAGGCGCTGTCTTTCTCTTTCTCCTTTCTCTGTTTCTCTGTTCCTTAATTTCACATATTGTGGTCTGGTGGCTATCTAATACTCCCTGCTGCGTTATAGCGCGGTTTAATCACACTACAAGCGCATCCCTCGTTAGTGGGATATCGCCTGAGTGGCTATAATATGAGACTACATTCCACGGAAAGACCTGAGACAGCGATATACAACGATGGTGGGTTCCTTGCTGTTGTTGCAGCCGCGCTTACTACTGCATTGGGATCTATAATAATCTTACGCAAGTTGTTAGAGTAGCTAAAAGACTACGCTTCCCGCGCGAGCTTGAAAAACACTCTTAAAGGGAAGACCGTTCGCAATAATTGTGATTTACGATTCGGCCGCAGCTCAAGTAAAACGCGCCGATCCAGCAAACCTTCCTTTCAAGCAGATTCCACACTTGAACCAAACGGACGCCCGACGCGTACAGGGGTACCCCCTCTGACCCTTCTGCCCAACGCTGTCCCTCCCATGGAGAAGGAGAAATTGAGACACTCGTGAATCCGTTCGGTTCAACTGTAGAATCTACTTCATACTTATTGTCAGTATAGCTCTCTTTCAGTCTTCAAAGTTCTTCCTTCACATTCAAGAATATCGTTAAAGAATCTGTCCCCTTTATTCAGTCATCGATGATAATTCAAATTCTTTGTACGTTTTGCATGACACATTTTCAACATACTTGCAGCACTAGCAGATTTTAGTAGATTTCTTCTACTTTGAGTTCAAATTTGTTTCTATTTTTTATACTTTCGATCGTTATCTTCGACAAGTTCGCATATGATTCTCAAATTTCTTCTTAGTCCTCATTAAGTGTCTAGTTTTTTTTTCAATCAAAAGTCGCAAATCTCAAACTGTCTTGAATTTCTTAAGAATTTGTTGCAACTCTCTTCAAAAAAAAAATAAATAAATAAAAAACAAAACTTGAACGATTTATGGACATCGATATCACTAACAACGGGGCGCCATGATGTTTATATCGCTACAGATCGAGGTCGCAGAGCGATGTAAAGGGTTTAGCATAAGAAAGGCTTAAATGCTGTTGCACAATGAGACTGTGGTCCCTACGTGCATTCGAGATTCCAAAGCGTCGACTCTAGAACTATCTCATTCCCTCCTTTTCTCTCGAGTCTTGCCAAGGGTGGTGCACAATCAGTGGTCCTGATTTATTGTAGCAATATACATTAAGATACCGACATTAAAACTAGGGGAGCTACCCACGAACTCATACAATCGGACCAAGTGAATCCCAGTTACTCCTGATGATGACAGTGTTGCTCTGACGAAAGACAAAGAATTTATATATCTTTGACCAATAATGAAAATCAGTTTACACTTTTAATTAATTTATAGTAGCAATCATTTTTATATTTATGGATGGTATTTATATATAAGAGATTTATATTAATTATTATTTGGAGGGTAGGAAATAAATCTCCAGAATTTACTGATATTTCCTAGAAAATATTAAGTTTATAATTTTTTGTTCTATTTCTTTGCTTTTTATAAATAAATGTGAACACTAGTAACACAGCTCGCCATCCAGGTGTCCTTTTTCCTAGATTTCTCCAATTTCTTTGTAAATTGTTAGATAATTGGAAAAAGGAATCAATTTAATGGATGGCCAGCTAGTCCATTATCAGCATGCCAATAACGGATCAGAGTTCTAACCGTAGTAACGTGTAGTGTTTCCGCCATTGTCTGCAGGTCCAAGCGGTGCTTACAGTCCGGATGCAACGATGGGTTACATGATGGACGGACAAGCGGCCAGTATGATGCACCGGCCGCCTGGTGATCCAGCCTTCCATAATCAATACCACTATCCACCAGAATATTATGGCCACCACTTATAAAGGTAAGCTTTTTCAAACTTAAATTCTTCGTTCACTAAAGATTCGATTTATCATGAAAATTCATCATACTGTCATTTTTTTATTACGAATAGTATATATTTTAATAGAGAAACCCTCTTTTTGTGATATGGTCATTATGGAAGGTTTCTGAAGAATTGCATTTAGAAAAAAATTTATGGAATAAGGTGTTAATGGACGTTTCATAAATATGACTGTCAGTATTTTAAAAAAAATATATATATTTTTCAGGACTCATTCTGTTTAATTTTAGTATAAAAGTAAACGAATGTTAATAAATGTATCATATAAAAAGAACCATTTACTTTTGCAAAATTTAATGAATAAGTATATTCAAGTTTACAAAGTTTTTAGATTTCGCGATTAAAAATTTTGAATATATGAATTTTTTATTATTCATAGCTAAGTGATCAATATTTGCTTTTGTAATCATAGTATTTTGAATTTAAATGAGTAAATGAGCCGTTCGCTCGAAAAACCATAGAAGGCTCGAACTAGGTCCGTAAATCCCGTAAAGGTCCGTAAATTTACTTGAAGTCTGTAAAAGTCAATTTTTTTGAAAAAAGGTCCGTAAAGTCCGTAATTTGATTGAGAAAAGACGAAAAGTTCGTAAATTGTACGATATAATTTGGAGAATTTTAAAGAACTTAAATTATTGCAGAAATTCAATTATTTCTAAAAGTAATAAAATTCTTCGCAGAAATTCAATTATGTTCAAGAATTTTTTAAAATTCTCGTCCAAATTTCAATTATCTTTAGAAATAATTAAATTCTTCTTTGAAATTCAATTATTTTCAAAATTTTAAATAAAATTCTTGGCAAAATTTCAATTATTTTCAAAAATTTCCCTCAATCAATGATTTTCAATATTTACTATTTTAATAAAATTATTGAAAAGAATTCAATTATTTAAAAAAAAATTGAATAAAATTCTACGCAAACCTTTAATTATTTTCATAAAATAATAAAAACTTCACAGGAATTCAATTAATTACAAATTTTTTTTTTATAAATTTCTTCACAATCATTCAATTATTTTCCTAATAAAATTTTTACACGGATTCAATTATTTACGTAAATAATAAAATTCTTTTTAGGAATTCAATTATTTTCATAAATAATAAAATTCATCGCGAAGAATTTCAATTATTTTTATAATACAATTTTAATCGAATTTCTCGAAAAAATGTAATTATTCTTAAAACTTTTATTAAAATTCGTGGAAAGAATTCAATTATTTAAAAATTTGTTGATAAAATTCTTTACGAGAATTCAGTTATTCAATAAATTATTTATTTTTGTATTTAAATAATTGAATTCTCGTAGAATTTTCTATAAAAAATTGATTTGAAAATGAATTTCAGTTAAAATTTTAGTCAACAATTGAATTTTAAAATCATTATATCATGAATTTTTAGAAATAATTGAATTTTGAAAAGGTTTCATATTAAAATCTTTGAAAATTTTCATTTTTAATTTTTTTTTATTTAATTGAAGAGTTTCCGAATTATTGAAATTTTGTAAAATTGAATTGTAAACAAATAAATTTAAAAATTGTCAAAAAACTTTTTCAAAAGGATTTATTTAAGTATTTTAACCACTTGAGCGGCAGTGCGTCAGAATTGGCGTCAGCGTGCAAGTGACAGAAGCGGCAAAAATGCGTAAAAGGCGTCAAAATTTGACTACTATTTTCTCATTCTGTAAGGAGATTTATAATATCACAACAAAGTATTTTTCTTTTTTAAAGTAAATGAGCAGATCTTTAAACAAAAAAATGCTTTTTTAAATATTTCGATTTCGTGAAGAAAAATTGGACTTTTTGTGGTAGAAATTGAAACGCCACTAATATCAAACTATTAAATATTGTTAGCTTTGATCCTTGAAAACTTATTTAAATATTTTAAAAAACATTTTTTTTGCTTACAGGTCTGTTCTTTCACTTTAAGAAAGAAAAATACTTTGTTGTGATATTATAAATCTCCTTACAGAATGAGAAAATAGTAGTCAAATTTTGACGCCTTTTTCGCATTTTTGCCGCTTCTGTCACTTGCACGCTGACGCCAATTCTGACGCCCTGCCGCTCAAGTGGTTAATTAAAAACACTAAAAAAATTTAATTTTGGAAAAATTAAAAATTATTGCGGAATTTCAATTATTTTTAAGAGTAATAAAATTCTTTGCAGAAATTTTGATTATGGTCAAAAAATAATTAAAAGCATTAGAGCGTGAATTTTTAGAAATAATTGAATTTTTAAAAGGTTTCAAATTAAAATCTTTGAAAATCTGAATTTTTCATATTTTTAACTAATAATTCGGTGGAATTAATTTTTTTTGGGAAAGTTTAATATTGCGGATTTTTTTTTAAATGATTTCAAGTTTTTATTTTTTTAATCAAATATTTAAATGAAGAAATTACGAATAATTTAAATTTTGTAAAATTGAATGGTAAACAAATGAATTTGAAAATTCTCAAACAACTTTTTCAAAAATTATAAAAAATAATGCATTTAAAGAAGAATTTTAGTTAAAAACACAAATAAAAATTTTTATTTTAGAAAAGTTACAAATTATTGCAGAAATTCAATTATTTTTCAAGAGTAATAATATTCTTCGCAAAAATTAAATGTTGTTCAAAAATAATAAAATTCTTCTTAGAAGGGGTTAAATTATTTTCTTAAATAATAAAATTCATCGCGGAATTTCAATTATTTTTAATACAATTTCAATGGAATTTCTTGAAAAATGTAATTACTCTTAAATTAAAATTCGTTGAAAGAATTCAATATTGTTTAAAAATTTATTGATAAAATTCTTTATGGGATTTGAATTTTAAGAAACATTTAATTGTTCAATAAATTACTTATTTTTGTATTTAAATACTTAAATCCTATAGTAGAATTTTCTAATAAAAATTAATATAAAAATGAATTTTAGTTAAAATTTTAGATAATAATTGAATATTGAAAGCAATATAGCTTGAATTTTTAGAAATAATTGAATTATGAAATTAATTTTTTTTAAATAGTTTAAATTGAATTTTTTTATATTATTTTAAGTTTTTATTGTCTAATAACGATAATAAGATTATTAATAAAAATTTTTTTTGTTTCAGCTTGATGAAGAATTAGATGGAAAAATTAGGTTCCACAAAAGAACCTTGTGAAAAAGAAGGCTGAACGAGGGGTGATGCTTGGCGAACCAAGCTCCGACCTGAAGAACCACGTCTGTCGAAGCCACTAGATTACCGCAAGTGAAGGTGCCGACAATTCTTGCCGCATAACCGCCAGATTTTGAGGAAGAGGGTACTGTGAGAAAACAAAAATTCCGAGCAGGTCCGGAAGTGGATAAATGTCAAGAGAGAAAACGACCTAGAGGAACCACGTGGATGAATCAAACAAAAATCAACCATCTTATCCTTGGTGCTAAAACATGATTTATCCATAAAAAAGAAAAAGTCGAAGAGAAGAATGTAGGATCAAGAAAAAAAAATAGAGGGACAAGTAGAAAAAATAATTTATAAGCCCAAAAGCAAAATAGAGGAAGGCTGTCGATGAAGAAGAAAAAAAGAAGGCCACCGGAAATGAAAGGGTCGAGAAAAAGAAATTCATGTGATTGTTCTTTGTACAAAATATTGCGTTGTAATATTGTAGTGATTGAAGATATTAAATGTTAAATTTTAATACGATCACGATTGAGAAAACTCTATATATATAAATATATATATATATATGTCAATGTATGCTTGTATATATTTATATATATGGATATAGGCAATTTTAGCGGGCATGTACCTTACCTGGATGCTCGCATGTCGAGTGTAGAAGCGTGTCATAAGATCTTCAAGAGCTAAAAAAACTTATAAAATTGGAGATGAAAAAAAAAATTTAAGAGCGAAAATAAAAGAAGGCTTTGAAAGAAATCTGTGACCATGCTTTAACGCAAAAGCGTGTGCCGGACTTGGGAACTAAGTCCCCTGCGACCTAATAGGACATTGAATTTGTACAGTTCTTACTTATAAATAAATTTACTAACTAAATAAAATTAAATATATATATACAGAAATATGTATATGTAAATAAATAAATAAATAAATGTATATATATATATCTTTATATATACTATATAATTTTATGTATTCTATAAATAAAGATATGCATATATAAATATATAAATATGAATCTATATATGTATATATTTAAATATAATACATATATAGATTCTTATATTTGAAAAAAATAATTTTAAAACAAGTACTTCCCCCTCCTCCTCGCTCCTGAACCTGTAATATAGAGGATAAAAAGCTATACATTTGGAGGAGTAAACTTCAGGAAGGAGCCGCTAGAGGGGACATGAGTGAGCGACTGGAAATTGTTTTCCGCTCTATCCAACATGTTTTGAGAAGCGCCCCAATCGACTCGACTCTTATGAATTAATTAAAAGGTTAACGATTACGATTTATGATAATATATTGTGTATAAATAGTTAATTCAATTGAGTACACGAGAGGGGGGCTATATAGGATGAGCAACAGAGCGCTCACAAAAATCCAGAATAAAGTCTGAGTGCAAGTGAGAGTGAAAAGAGTGGAGAGTAATGTATTATAGAGTATACATATTATATATAGAAGTATGTGAGTAGGTATTTAGGGTCCGAAAGTACAGTTTTTTCGTTTTGTTCGAACGCATTTTTGCTCCCTTTCGAAGCACTTCATTAATGTTTCAGCAACACCTTGACAAGCTTCTTTTTATTTTACACCCTTCTTTTCTTTTCGAGATTCGTCCCGAGTTGTATACGGTGAGACAGTTTTGATGAGGCCTAATAATAGAAGAACCGTTTGTGGAAAAAAAAAGCTTTTCCTTAAATCTTGTGTGGAAAAATTTTTATAAGAGACCTTTTTTTTTAGTTTTAGCACAACCTGTTTTTGCGGTCTCACTTGAGCCAGGTCTGATTGTTTTAGTCTAATAATGTAAAAGTAATTTCAAAAAAATTTTAATAAAGTATGCTTTGTTAAATTATAAATTTTTCTTAATCAATAAAAAAAGTTCAGTTAAATTCGCGTATAAAGAATTAATTCTTTTTGTGAAGTTAAGTTAAATTCGGATAAAGAATTAATTCTTTATGCGAATTTAACTGAACTTCACTTTAACATCAAATGTCATTGTTGGCTGCAGTAAGATATTATTAAAATATGTTTAATTCAATAATTATCTGATACAAAGTAGACAATTTCATTACAATAAATTATTAATGCAATGAATGGTAAATAAAGTGGTAAATAAAAAAAATATTAATAAGAGTTAAAAAACAGAAAAGATCAATTTGAAGATTAGTAACATTTTGGTTTCTTAAATTTCTAGATTATAAGCGACTTACAGTTATCGCTCGACAAAAATGTCACTAACCGGATTAAATGATGTGAATAAATAAACCATTCAATTTTTTAATGTTCTGTGCCTTTTAAACATTGAAAAAAGAAATCTCAACATACAATTAAAACTATAAGGAATCAAAATCCGTTGAGAAAATTATATGCAGTGTAGTGCAGCGACGCTACACTTCATTTTTTTAAATCATTTTTATGGTTATATAATTTCATGCAAAAGTTACATTGACTGTGTTTTGGTCATTTCGTTTTTAAACATAATTGAATTTTGTAATAAGAATTTTATTACTTTTGAAAATAATTGAATTTTTGCAATTATTTGTAACTTGTTCGAAATTCAATTTTTTTTAGTGTTTTTAACTAAAATTCTTCTACAAATCCATTATTTTAATATTATTATTTTAATCCATTAAATATATTATATATATATTGATAAATTTAACTAATTTTAGAAGATTTTGAATTATTAAAATTTTTCAAAAATCTAAATTCATTAAAATTTCTGATTAAATTCATTCAACATTGAAATTTTATAAAATTTTAAATTGAAACTTTTAAATTTAAATTTTAAATTGAAAATTAAAGTTCATTTATTTATGAAAATTGTAATCGCAACTCTTTTAAAATTGAATTAATTTTCAAATATTCAAGTAAAATTATTCATTTAATAATTTATTTATGTTATAATAGTTGTTCGAGATTTAAGTTATTTAAAAAGAAATTTTTGTCGGAAATTGAAAAAATTAAAAGTTTTGTATTAGATTTCGTGGTAATTTTATAATTTATGAGTCAAACAAAAAAGACACAAAAATTCAGAATTTTCTTATGAATTCTAAAAATTTAATTTTTTTCAGTACTTTTAATAAAAATTCCTGACTATTTCCTGAATTCCCTATGTCAGAATATAAAATTATTATAATTATTATAATTGTTATAATTATAATAATATTAAAACTATATATTTTAATCCATATTTTATTTAAAAAAAAAAATTTTTATTTAATATTTTTACGTTCTATTATTTTTAAAATAGCTAATTATATTTGAAAAAGTGATTGAGAAGTCAGTCGCGAGCAAATTGTTGCTAGTAATGTTATAATTTAAAAAAAAAATTGTATGAGATTTTTTTCAAATTTTTAAAAAACGCAGAACATTACAAAACATTACCAATTTCTTTGTTTGCCATTCCAATTTTTGTGTCATAAGACACAAAAATAATTTATAATCGTAAAAATGATTTTTTATCACAACAAAATACTTAAATGAATAAAATAATCGGTTTAATTATTATTTATTTAAAATTTTTTTTTATTATGTATTTTTTTTATTATATAAATAAATTTTGATAATATTGTACGCAAACATTTAATAATTTTCATAAATAATAAAAATTTCACAGGAATTCAATTATTTACAAATTTTTTTTAAAAATTTCTTCGCGATAATTTTATTCTTTTAAAAACTAATAAATATTTTTTTAAGGAATTCAATTATTTTCATAAAAAATAATTAAAAATTTCAGAAAATAATAATTTAATTGAAATGATGAAAATAATTTTGAAGAAGTTACAGTAACAATTTTCTTTTAATATAAAATAATGATTTTATCACTCGGTCATTTTTAATTATTATAAAACATGAAGATATCGATGGCTCCGAGTCGAAGATTCGGAGTGATCGATTTCTTCATGTTTTATAACAATTTTTTATAAGTTGTTTAATTTCAGAAAGGTTTATTTTAAAAAAACTTTGAATTTTATTAAAGCAATTGCAATTAAGAGATAGAAACGATGCAAATTATTTCCTTATGAAAATTGAGAATTTTCTACAAAAATATTGAGAAACGGGAATATGAAATGTTTCTTTTCCGAAAGAAAATATTGTTTGTGAGAAATAAAAATTATGCATAAAATGGGTATATTTTCTATTTCTGAATCATGTTTTTTTTTAAATTTACAATTTATTTTATTATTTTTATAAATAAGAAGAAGAAAAAGTTTCATAATTTAGATCAGTCAAAAGAGATTAATTATGTTCTATCACAAATTAAGTAATCAGATACATAATTTTAACTCCAATTTTAACAGTAAAATATTTTAAAGACATAAATAGCAAACAATTTTTATTATACCTACTTCTTAAAAATATATTAATAATTTGTGGAAACTTAAAGCAATGAAAAAATTCAAATGCTTTAAAAATAATTGTTTAATTAAAAATTGAATTCTAACAGTAAAATTTAATTAATTAAATTTTACCTTCTTAATATAATTTTTTTTATTAAATATTTATGTAATATTTAATATTTTATGATTTGGTACTGTGCTTCAATTGTGAAATGAAAACCTCTCCTGTGCAAAGTCTTATATTTAAATCATACTTAATGCCAAGAAAATTTTCCACACGAGATGACGAACAAAACCATTAGGTTGAAATTGTAAACTATCTTACTTGATTTTATCTCTAAAAGAATATCTATTCTAGCTTATTTTATATAAATATATCAAAAGGGAATGTGGAATATACTTTTAGTAATGAGTAGAAGTCCGTTAAGTGCATTCCGTATTTCTAGATGAAGAATTTTATTTTTCAATTTAGAAAATTGGTTTCTGAATTTAAAAATTCCAGACTAGTTATTTAAAATTTATTTTAAAAAGTCTTATTTAAAAACATTAACAGCGCATTAATAACAATGTCTAATACGTATGTGTCGAAGAACAAATGAGGCACCATATGCGCCATTTTTTTATATATTTAAAATTCTAAAATTCCATCTTACAAATTCATAATATCTTTTTTATTAAACATCTAAAAAATTACACTTATGCAAGTATCTTATCTTGTAAAATGGAAAAAATATTTTCATTAAAGATAAGTTGCATAAAATGGCATTGCAACAATTTTATTAAAAAGAAAAAATACATTCTTGCGCAGAAATTGAAATGCGGGACATTTCAATACTGAAATATTTGGTCAAAAAGCCTTTTTATTATTTATACAAAATTGTTTAATTTTATTTTTGAATAAAATTTTTCATACTGAAATTAAAATTTTTTTAATAATTAAATATTTGAATAATTTGCCACAAGGGGATTTTTTAAAATTATATTAAATTTTTAATAAATGGTAATTTTTTAAACTTCGTTCACTAGTATTTTGTTCGAACTTGAATTATTTGTATAGGAAAATTCTAGACAAATTTTTAAAACGTTTTCTTTACTGAAAGTTGAAAAAAATTTTAAAAATGAATTTTTTCTTTTTATCTAAAGCATAACTAGTGAAACGCTGGACTCTTAAAATAGAAGAAAGTAAGACAATTTCTGCACTGGATGTAAAATTTTAATTTCAAGCGATAAGATTTTTTTTAATAGTGTTTGTATATAATTTAAAATAGTTTTATGAATTCACAAATAAATCAAGTTAAATGAAAATGAATTTTTGATTTAAAAAAATGGAAGAAAACCAATTTTCAAAATTGAATTTTGCTTAATTGCCTTTTACATATTCAATTAAGATTTGCCTTCGATATCTGTACATTTTTCACACGTGATCTTCGTTGTGCGCGCGTCCCTGATATATACGTAATTAAAAGAGATGTGTCGAGACTGGAGGAGAAGGGAAAGAAGTTTCTAAAGATACGTTTTTCAAAAAGTCTTTCTAATGTAATGTAAAGAATGGGGGGGGGGGATTTATCAGTGATTTCACGTTAACGATGACTGCAATG